AAGTGTACAAAGCTGCCAAAGGAGGGATTAAATTTTCTAAATTTGTGATTGTGGCTTTAATTCCTGTTCCATTACTTTTTGTAGCAAGATCCCTACATCATTTTAAAATTCATAATGTTTAATACTCTTATTTGTTTACTTTTTATGATATACTTGTATAAAGTATATACTTTATCTTTAGAAACTATTGTGTGTCTGTAGCGCCATCTGCTGGGTTGAAAAGATATTTATGTACATGTATGATATGTTTACCATTTATATTATACCTATAAATATATATATATGGATTTTTATTGGACTATCAAAAGCGGATACCCATAGATCAGTCAAGTAAGCTGGAGAAATTTGTTGAGATAGTCTGAACCATCTTAGGGCTAGCCCCACTGACGTGATAAGGGAGGTATGAAGTAGATGAAAAAGTTGCTGTTTTAGAAATTTTTGTCTAGTTATACTGTAAATGTTAGCGACCTTTTTAGCGTATTATTAGTATATATGTTCATAATACACCGTACCCAATACTTTGAATGGTCAGTTTTTTGCTTAAGAAATTGATAGGGTGGTTTGGTGATCCCTACTATTAAGTGCTACCATACTTAAAATAAGGTGTATCATCATCGATGCAGTTCAATCAAAGTATTTTGTTTCACTAGTTGAAGAATGTATAATAAATTTCGGGGTATTATTCATTACTGAATGTAGAACAGCTTTTGTTTTTGTGTTTTTAGGCATGGATCTTCACCTAGAAAAAACAGCCCAAGTAGCCCTATACAGATCAAGGACACATCAGCCTTTTCAGGTAAGTTATTTGAGTAGTAGTTAATGGAGTTAACTTAAGTTAACCTAAAACTTGTAGATTCATCTTAAAATGTATAGAGTATCTTCCATAGTACCTATTTTGTGGAGTACGAAACATTAAACACTCACCTTAACAATTAAAAACAGTGACTACAAGTCTGAAAGAAAAGCTGTTGAAACTTGGAAATCCATTAATGCCATAAAAAAAGTTGATACCATAAAAAAATGAAAAAAACCACAAAAAAACAGTTAATACAAGTCTGAAAAAAACTGTTGAAACTAGTAAATTCATTAATGCCATAAAGAAAATTTGTGATACTATAAGAATTAAAACCAGTGACTACAAGTCTTGAAAGAAAAACTGTTGAAACTAGTAAATTCATTAATGCCACAAAGAAAATTTGTGATACTATAAGAATTAAAACCAGTGACTACAAGTCTGAAAGAAAAGCTGATGAAACTTGAAAATCCACTAATACGATAAAGGAAATGCTCACAAGGTGATTTTTATATGAAGTATAGAAATACTAATTATAATCTTACAGTTTTTACATTTCATTTGCATAATCTCTAAAGCCTCGTAAATGAATATCAAAAGTTTGTTTAAGGTAAATGTTTATGTTTTATTTTCTCTACTATATCATTAACTCTAGCTATTATTATCAACGTACACTGCAATAAAATGTTTAAAATTAAGAAATGGAAATATGTACTTACTTTCATCGAAATATCTTCTTTGGTTCACGTCTTCACTAATAATTTAAATTTAATGTTTTGTTTTCCTTACCTGTTCTTTACCCTTTATGATTTCTGTCAACACACGCCAATGGCATTCATGGGCAAAAGAATGGCTTGAACTACAGAGTTACTTTATCCTCAGCTAAATCTTTTTATTTTTACTCGCTTGGTAATGTTAACACTGTAAGCCTTTCTGAGTGAGGTGAAGCTTTCATTATTTTACAAAAATTATTAAATTTCAAATATGGATTTTAAAACACAAATAATGCATATGAACTGAAACAAAAAAAGTAAAACTTAAATACAACTTAACTACCTAAATATAAAATATTTAGGTGAGAAACAACCAAAGTGCTATCGTGGATAAAGCAGCCAACGATACTACAAGCAATTACATTTACCTGATGATGACAACTTGGCACCAATTTCACAATAATCATTATTTTAATTATAGTGTAAAATGAGCTCTTTGTAATGACTATAAACATGTGTCACTAGTAAGTACATGTTGGCTTCTAAAGCTCAAGGATATGTATACTAGTTGAGTGTGGCACCCATCAGCAGTTGACAAAATTTATTGCTTGTTTCTACTGCATTCAGCCAAAGAACTTTGAAACATACATGTCAATGGGGGATATTAATGTACTTACCATCTAGACATATATCTACATGACTGGTATTATCTGATTCAAAATAGTGACTGTAAAGTTGAGATCTTTCAACAGATCATGAAAACAGAACTGAAGTTAAAGTTTTTGGTTTTTTTAAAAGGTTTCTTTTGAAACAAGGGAATTAATACTTATATATCATATATTATAATGTTAATTTCATTGATGTATTTGGATAGTAAAATTGCATAATTAAATTCTGAATGTAACTCAGTGACTTACACAGAAAGGAGTTTAAAAAAAACCAAATGCAAATAACTACACTAAATGACCGCACAACTTGAGGGAGGACTTGTTTCTATTCTTTTCTCTTTGTTACAATGGCATTATGCTCCTCGGTGAGGACCACACCCCTTTTAGCATTGTCATTTACCACATATTAGTGTTGAACAGTCTGAAGTACTTACCAGTAGTCCTCACTGAGCTCCCACGACTCAAGGTCGTAATCCAGAAATACAGATGGAATTTCAGGGCATCAGTAAAGGGAATACTCTAGAATATTCCAGAATGTGCTAGAATATTTTATAATAATATGCTAGAACATTCCAGAATTATTTAGGTATCCATCCTTTGTCTGGGTTATGAAGTTAAAATAAATGGGTGAATGGATGCTATGATAACACAAAAATTCTAATTTTCATGTAATTTATTTATAACATAATGTATTATTACAGTATTCATTATTACCTCACCAAAAGTTTTGTATATGCTTTAAAAATTCAATATGTATATACTTAAAACATGGTATACACTGTGTGATGGTCAGGGTGACTTTGTAGGAAGAGGTAGCAGACAAAATGGTGGCAGTTTCTGTTGTCCGCTTTCAACACCCAACTCTTCATGTTCTTCCACAGTGTTTCACATGATTAATTAATTGATGGTCATTGGCCTCAGAAGTATCTCACCAGCCGAAGTTAAAAGGTCACAGGTCAAAGTAAGTATAACTCAAAAAAACAACTCTTCGTATCAATCTTATGGTGGAGTAGAAACTGAGTTTATGTATTATTGAAATACTGATGGCAATTCTTTTTCACTGCATTCCTTCAAAGAGAGTGGTAGCATACACTCCAAGATGTATTCAAGACATTTGTGTGCCTTCCCCCAGTGTAAGGATGTTGTGCCAACTATGAATGTAGTTAACATTATCTTATATCAAAGATAACAAATGGCCAATAACAGCAACGTTAACTTGCTCCTTGTTCCAAACTTTCATCCCACAAAGTTTGTTTGAGATTGGGCCCAGTGACCTAGGAGTAGTTAGATAACGGACAGACAGATATTCTTGAGCAGCCTTTAAATGTTATTCAATGTGGATAAAGTTAGGTGTGAATTACTTATCTATACATTGGGGAGGTGAGAATGTCGTAAATCAAAACTTCTAAAATTAGGACCACCCTAATGCTGCTGATCAGAATTTTCTTTCATATACTTATTCGACAAATGGATAAACACAACTAGAGAAAGTTGTTACCCATTTTTTATGAACATGTTAATATCCAAACATATTATTACTTGGTTTTTTAAACCTTCAACAAACCATAAATATTAAACATTGCCACATTACTGCAATTATATAAAGAACCATTTGATGATATATGAATAACATATTCGCCCAGAAAATTCATAGTTAAATTTTGTGTTATGTTACCTGCAGGGGTAGAGTAATCCCCTTCCTCATCCACAACTTCAGCATAATCTTCTAAAGAAATATAAAACAATTCCAATTTAAAACATTTGTTGTCAAGTAAATACAAAAACAACAATTTGTATTTGTGTAAAAAAAAACTCAACCAAAAACCACACCCATTTACTCAATAGTTATTAATATATAGAAAGAGAAATACATATTTAGCTACATAAAATTTTAAAGAAAATAATAATATTAATAATAATAATAAAGAAAAAACTGAATAGCCACTAAAGTTTTATTTGTAGTTTTCAAATACCATGGTTTAGGGTTAATGTTTTAATTTTGTACCATTTTGGAAAATATAGATACAAGTGGTTGTCTCAAAGCACATAAATAATTGTATTTAACTTTCTTCTGTTTCACAGCACATTGCATGACAAACTTAAGGATATAACGTTACTTATACAGAAGAGATTTTGATTTGGACACCTAATTTCTGTTTAATCTCTTTAGATGAGAAAACTGTTCTTATAATCACATTTACTTTATGCCATTAATGAATTTATTAGTTTCAACATCTTTTCTTTCAGACTTCTAGTCACTGTTTTTAATTCTTATGGTATCACAAGTTTTCTTTTTGGCATTAACTATATCAAAATGATTTACAAACATCACTAGTACATTACGTAGCACTCATGAAATTAAAATAGTGGATGAAATTGTTTGAAACTTCACAAGAACTTCCTTAAAAGTATCTAGTTTCAGAAAAATAAAATATCTAATTTTGATTTTTTCAATTATTACTAATAAAAATTGTTTGGTGTAACTTTTTTGTAGTTATTTGGTGTAACTTTTGTGTAGTTATTTTTACTTTCTACTGTTAGGAAAGAGTCTTCTATGATCCTAAGTGATCTGACTGTTTCAGTAACAACACAGCATACTTGAATACAACCCACCTTACCCACAAGTGATCTGACTGTTCCAGTACCAACACAGCACACTTGAATACAACCCACCTTACCCATGAGTGATCTGACTGTTCCAGTAACATGTTTTGATACCCATCTAGACCAACGATGTTTGGGTAACTTTAAAATTACTCACTCTGCAGATATTAAACAGTTTTTAGAAATTAAAGTTTCAGCAGTAAGAACTTTTATAGTACCAACCTTGCATTTGTATGTTCCCTTGTGAACATCACCAAACTGTCCTTCTCCAATAATCTCTCCAAGACAGATTCGTAATCGGCATAGCTCATAATCTTTACCTGTTAAGAGTATCAAATATTATTAATTATGAATATTATATGTTGTTACATACTGACAATAAAACAAAGAAAGTGGCCAAAACAAGAGAAATTAGTTTTAGGAATGGAAAAGGAATCCCCTTCTTCTCAAATCTACAAGCTTCATCTAATGTAAAATCTAAAACATCTTGAAATGATTCTTTATATGGATATTTACAAGAATCTCTTTAAATGCACGGCAAATATCATTTTATGTAATTCTTCCTTTTCTTGGTAAAAATAATTCCTATTTTCATTCTCTATAACTTAGAAAATGTTTGAATGTGTTTTTCTGGAATACAATAGGTAATAAAAGCCTCTAAACTGAAAATATAACTTATCAAATAAAATATCTATTAAATTAATACCTAACAAATTAAAGATAATTATAGCAAGTACACCTAGGGAAACATAGAGAAATCTATAGCAAGGTAAAAATTACAGCCAAAAATATTGTTAACAGCAAAAGTACCAAACTGATGAAAAATTACATTCTTTATAAGTAGAAACGTAAGAAAATTATATTTAATTAACTATTCTGATGGCCATGTTGATTTCGAGTTTTGCTTTCAGTACTTAATTTACTGTGATCAGAAGTTGTTATTGTTATTTTTAAAAAAAAAGCTTGTTCAAATCCTACGATTCACTTCCACTAAGTCCAACATGCTGGTTAGGGTGGTCTTTGTTTGTAAGTAAAATTTCAGGTTAAAAATTCAAAATCTCTTACCCCCTAACTTTGTTCCAATGTATAAAACAACAAACATCAAACTTTGTCCATTTTGGACTATATTTAGAGGATGCTCAATGAGGTTGAAGTTCTAGACTGTAGTAGTCTAGTACCATATATATTACAAAAACATTTGTAATGTGTTATAAATGATTTATTTAAAGCATATTATTATTTTATTGCACTTACAATAGTACACTTACATAATCATATGATTTTTGTGTAGTTATTTGGTGTAACTTTTGTCTAGTTATTTGGTGTAACTTTTGTGTAGTTGTGGGTAAGGTGGGTTGTATTCAAGTGTGCTGTGTTGTTACTGGCCTTACCCATGAGTGATCTGACTGTTTGGGTTGTATTCAAGTGTGCTGTGTTGTTACTGGAACAGTCAGATCACTCATGAGTAAGGTGGGTTGTATTCAAATGTGCTGTGCTATTACTGAAATAAACAGAGAGTAAGTTGTAGATGTACTAAAACTTGTGTTATAACTGAGCTTGTATTGTTAGTGAAAGAAACAGAAAGTATATTGTGTGTTTATGGTTGACAATTTTAGAGTATGTTGTTACTGAAACAATTGTTTCACGTACATTGAGTATTAGTACATGCTGTGTTATGTCAGACAGTTGCCTATGGGTGTAAATTGTGTTTTAATAGAAATGAATAGAAACCCTATAACCCGAGTGCTTTCGAGAGATGGACCTTTCTTCTTCAGGGGCAAACTGGGAATTGTGTTTTAAAGTACTCTGTAGTGGTGTTTTTCAGACATTATGAAAGTCACTTATGGGTGTAAATTGAATTTTAAACTACACTGTAGTTGTGTTTCTCAGACAATTAGAAAGTCACTAGTGGATGTTAACTGAGTTTTAAAGTGCTCTATAGTGATGTTTTTGAGACAACTAGTAAGTCGCTTGTCGGCTGGTGTAAATTCAGTTTTAAAGACCTCTTTAGTGGTGTTTTCCAGACAATCAGAAAGTCACTTGTTGGCTGGTATAAACTGAGTTTTAAAATGCTCTTTAGTGATGTTTTCCAGACAGTCAGAAAGTCGCTTGTCAATTGGTGTAAATTTAGTTTTAAAGTGCTCTATATTGGTGTTATTCAGACAATTAGAAAGTCACTTATTGGTGTAAATTAAATTTTAAAGTTCTGTATAGTGGTGTTATTCAGACATTCAGAAAGTCTCTTGTGGATGTAAATTGATTTTTAAAGTTCTCTATTGTGGTGTTTTTTAGTCATTCAGAAAATCACTTGTGGCTGTAGATTGAATTTTTAAGTGCTCTGTAATGGTCTTTTAACTGTGTTGTTGCTTCTATGCATTGAAATATACCATGATCTCTGTGAGAGAATGGAAGGAGTCATTTTTGGGTGTTGTTTTGAATAGAATGTGCCACACATAGGTGTAAGATGTACGCACTTGTTTCTACAAGATGGGTGATATCTGATGTGGAAATTCCATTAAAATTTTGCTTCAACAAAACTATTTAGTTTCAACTAGGTTAAGTTGATAATTGTAATTTTATTTAAATCATCTAACCCTCGAGTTACTGAATTGCTTACAAAATATTCATTACTGGTCCAACTCTATTTCTGTTTCTATTAGTGAATATAAAGGGAAAAGGCTTTAGTGGGAATTTGTTACAGACCATCAGATGATACTGATGAAATTAGTGAGAAACTTTACAATGAAATTAAAATATCATCTGTTAATGAAGTCATAATTATAGGTGATTTTAATTTCAGGCATATAGATTGGGAAATATTAGAATCAAACAGTGAGGGAGAAAGGTTTTTGGAAACTGATCAGGATGGCTTTTTTCACCAGTTAGTCAAGGAACCAACTAGAAACAATGCTATTTTAAACTTATTAACTTCTAATACAGAAATGATTGAGAGGGTGGAAATTGGGGAACATCTGGGTGCAAGTGATCATTGCTTTATTAGGTTCAATGTTCTGCTGCATATGGAGATAAGGAATAATGATATTTTGGTTACAGGTTTCAAAAAAGCAAATTTTGAAGGGATGTGACATGAGTTATCTGTTGTGAATTGGGCATTTGAGTTGTTTGGAAACACTGATCAGATGTGGAAAAGTTTTAACTATTCAATGTAAACATATTCTTTATAGAAAGTAAATGG